GCCAACAACGGCACCGACGGCGGGACGATCTTCGACTCCGGCACGACGTACACGCAGTTGCAGCCACAGGCGCTAGACGCGCTGGGCACCGCACTGGGCGGCAAAATGCCCTTCACGCAGATCCCCAGCACAATCAACGGCTTCGATTACTGCTGGGACGCGTCGGGCCTGACGGACGCCGATATCGCCAAGCACGTCCCGACCGTCTCGTTCAACTTCACCGGCGCCAACTACGACCTGTCCTTCGACAACACCTTCCTGACCGGCGGCGACGCGCTCTTCAGGACCATCTGCCTGGCCATCAGCCGCGGCGTGCTCGTCTCGGAGTCCATAATCGGCAACTACCAGCAGCGCAACGTCTACGTGGTCTACGATCGCGCCAATAGCCAGATCGGGTTCGTTCCGCGCAACTGCGGCGAGGCGGTTTCCGTCTCGCCTTCTACCACGACCGGGACGTCGTCCGCTTCCAGCTCTGCCTCCGCCGGCACCAGGTTCAGAGCCGGCCTGGAGAGCGTGATGACGCGCGTCCTCCTTCTACAAGTGTTATCGGTCCTTTATTTATATCCTTTATAGAGTGTTGTAGATATCTCCCGTCGCTAGCTTAGGAGGGTTTTAGATTTTGACATAATTTTCTGCTTGAAGGAAAATGCCGTGCCAAAAATCTGTCAATGTACACTTGTAGATATTACTTCTGCAGCCTTCGCAATCCAAAGCTTTTGTGAGCTCTGTTGCCCACTACGAGGTCCAGTTTTACATGAAGAACATGTTTCGCCTGAAACTCGACGAAGGAAATTCTGTATATCACTCACTCATGGGGTTCGCCATTTTTTCCAGCGGAATTCTGAGCTGCGATCTGGAGCAGCTTAGTTTTGGATCGCCGTCATGAAGTAGTGAGTGATGCGAGTTAGATTGGTTTCGAGTGCTCCAGGGAAGGAAGGTGCACAGTGATTGAGCAGGTTCGGTTGTAGTCGTGCATGCAAATTGAAAGCGAGAGATCGAAATCTGGGTTCGGTCGGATTCAGATTCGCACACGCGCCAGAAACAAAGCAATTTTCTCTCGACTCTCGCTCGAATGAATCGATGATATATCGAACGATCGAGAACTGGGAATTCATAAGCTTGCAAGCGCACAAGAAAATGCACATCAGTTTTCTGTATTGCTCGAATTTTCTCCACATAGAACAACAGAGCTTCGTTGTCTTCGGTTCATTTGCATGGCTCCCAGTTGAAGGAGAATCTGGATAAAGATTGAGAGTTTGAGAGATGTTGGTGACTCACCGCCCAGTACACTTACATTTCTGACAAGATCCTGGAGTGTGGATGAAGACGATGGATGCATCTACTCTGGATTCGACTACCTGGCTCACAGTAATTCCAACCCAACATTTGTTGACAATCCTGACAGTACAACCCGGTTGATTCTTTATCACACTGAGGAAATCTACCCTCAGTGGTTGCATTGGACCTGCCAGATTCCTCGGGTGTTGGTGGTGGTTGCGTATGTGCTAACAGACCAAATTAGGCATTGGATTGATTGTTAAGTCCTGCAATTGAATAGGGCTCTGAGTCAAACAAAAAAATGGACTCAATTCCTTCCAAGTCTGGAGGTACCTACATGCTGAGCCTGAGCCGGTCCGGGGATGCGCAGAAATCACTGAAGATTAGAAGGACAGATGCGGGATGGCTCAATATTTGAGTTGCACGATCGAGCATACTGCAAGCCATCCACGAATCTGCATTTGCACATGCGTGTTACACTCTCGCTGACTTGGATATGCTGAACGACGATCCATATTCTGTTTATACTTGATGACACAATTGTTTAGACTAATCAATCATCTGAAGCTCTAAGAGCACATGGTTCTCATCTCTGCAGATGGCGATTCCAGAGAGTCTACTTCGCCTCTTGTCTCGGCTCGGTCTTTCTTACACGGATCAAAACAGACACAGAGACTTGCTGGATGGTTTTGCCGTGAAGCAACATGATATGCCAAAGTACATTCAGACGATCATGGAGGAGGCTTTTGCGCTTCTGAGGACTTAATTAGAACGATGGAAGTTAAGCGACTGGTGCATACCACGCTTTGTGCGAAGAGTAGACCAAGGAACCTCTTCAATGCAAGACACTGACCTGTACGAACACTCTATGATGACTTCTTCTGGGAAGACATGATTTTCTGTCCATGTTCTGATTCTCAGAACCTTCCAACTGATTCATTTCCGTGGAATTTGTGTACAACAGCTTTCCAAACAAGGACACACCCTCAGTATAGCGAAGAGGGAACCAAGCACAAAATGTACGGAAAGATTCCATTAAATACTCCGAAGAATATGGCTAGATTCCAATCAGAAAGTAATATATAATTACGTATTGCTCATGTAATTGTCTATAACAAGGGGTCTAGATATTACATGACAAGAGATATTCTTCTATCATGGAGTCTACCAAGCTAATATTTCGTGTAAATCTCTTGATTCAATATTATACACAATAATCTAAGCGTGTTTGATAAGCTCTCCAGCACTCTGGAATATGTAAAAGTTATTTTGCCAGTTGTATACATCCCTAAACCCGCGAAACAAGTATGCTTCCGTTAATACACATCCCAACACTAAGGTCGTCGATTCTCCGATGGCACATCTACTATTAATAAACACGATGATTGCAATTGTGATCGAGTGCTCCCGACCAGATATAGTTCTTCTTCAATTCCGAACATACCATCGAGCTTTCCATGGGCATAGCAACGAGTGTTTACTGTATTATATTCTCAACGAGTCACGTGAAACTCTGTTCCATCTATCGTAAGTTTTGCCTCAGAAAGCATATAGCACGTGCCCTTATGGTACTCGGAATGGTTGGATGCTTTAAACGATGTTCACCTTGTCTCTCCATTTGGACTTCGGTTGAATTGCTGGGCAAAGATTAAAGGAAGAATGTTGGTTTTCATGATTTGGTAAGACATCTCTTTAACTATATGTAAATGCCATTCCCTCCTCTCCCGTCTCATCTCGAAGATGGGGCATGTGACATGGCCCATGTCCATTAATGAGGAAGAGAATGTCAAACATTGGACAGATTTCCCATTCCACACTGGAATGAAAGTCTTGTAGGAGAGAGAAGGAGAGAGAGTCCGTAACTCTAGAAAGACTTGATGGATCAAAATCAGGACGATGTGACAAGATCGGAGATATGGCCAGGGGGGATTTGCAAAGTTCAAGAGAGTGAAGCGGGTACAAGGTTTGATAATCAAAGTTGCTGACATATCAGGTTACAACATCATGACAACATCTCACAACTCTCCGATGTGGTCAAAATGATTTCGAACTCAGCTCCGTGCTTTCTGTGCGCACGTTAATGGACGACGAATCAATGTGGGAAGTGATACGGCATCGGCCTGTCTTTACAGCATGCAATGACACTTTATGACGAAGAATCCAAATCTTGAACGGCAACAGGGGTTTGAGTCATGGAAACCAATTTGCTTACATACTCGCCGGCCGTGAATAAGGTCAATGTGGTCGGCAAATCGTCCTTGCCAGCTGCAACTGCAACTGAGGCCTACATGGGTAACAACTCCCAGATACGTCAATTATTGAAAGTTTAGAAAGCTCGTGACTGCTGACAGTACCTAATCCATGTCCAGCTGTACCTGAAATAAGCTGAATCGTTTGAAAAGAAAGAGCAGATCCGAGCTTTAGCCATGTGGGTAAAAGTGGGTTGAAAAGTGCCGTCGTCCTGTTTCACGTAAAGGTACGTACGAACATGACTGTACCCTCTGACCGTCCTCTGGATGAAATCTGACATTACTACAGTCGTCGTCAGCAGACGATACAGGAGGTCTTCGTTTGCAGAGATTCTGCAGTCTCGCAACTCGAATAATTCTTCCACACTTCCCAATACTGTACAGCCTGGTGAAACTGGTGACTGGTGACTGGAAAGTGGAAAAGACGAACTTATACGAAGATCCAATCCACGATTCCACCGAAATGACCTGACTCCCCCTGAGCTCCTGGTCTTTTCTTGCTAGTCTGAAAACCTGGCCACGGGAAGAGAGTGCAAGCTCGGGTAATCGGAATTTCTCCAACAAGGAGACAACGCAGATTCGTGTCGGTCCACTGCAGCCCTTCCACGTTATGAAGTTGTGAACTAGAAAACGAGAGTCATGATAATAGCGTGCCCATGGCGTAACGAAGTTACGAGACTCACTGACCCTATCGTCCTGAAGACTCAAATCAATTTATGTTATAGAAAGCTGAGTTTGTGACGTCATTCTTGGATCCGAGGCGGACTAGTATCAACTCTCGTGGGATTAGAGTTAGAAACAATTAGACTCAATAGAGAGAAAATTTCTTTAGGGGTTGGCAATTCGGAAGCTGCTCCGAAATCTGCTGGGAGGCACCCAAGGTACCTGATGTCAGTCACTTACCAGATGAACAGTGGCGTGGTAATTCTAGAAACCCCTCTGTCATCCTCAAGGGCTGATATATTTGCACAAGATTTCCCACAACCAAGATTCGGATTGGTGAGAATGACGACGATTGCGCAAGACAGTGCGCAGTGAAAGTACAGTACAAGCAAATGTATCCTCTGCATTCTGCCAGATGTCCACTTGCTCGTCCACCAATCCATGCTTCGATTCAGTGTCAGAAACTGACGCACTGAAATGGGTGACCCCCCACATCAACACAACACATGCAAATTTCAGACACGACAAAGAACGCGAAGATCAACGGCCTAATTAGGGCTGCATGCTTGCCAAGTTGAACCACAATGCGCATCACCGACGAAAGCAAGCAGCATCTGCTTTAGTTGAAATACGAACCTCGGAGCAGCTGTAATTTATCAGCGGAGTTGAATCAGTCCGAGAGGCAGTGAAGATAGATTGCGAAAACAGAGAAAAGCGGAATAATTGCAAAACGTGCAACTCCGAACAACAAAAACACGAGACAAAGAACCTGTAGAACACTTGGAAACTGCAGACAAGAACGATGGATTAGCTACAAGATGGCAATAGAATTTTATTTAACTGAGACATCCGGAAGTAAAAAGCCAAGGGCCGAACAATGGAAAGTAAGCCGGATCATTGACAGCGAATGTACATCGTTCCAAAAATTGCTCGTGTGATGGAATTGGCATCACCTAGCTGCTCATTAATCCTTTCTCGTCCTTGAAGGAATACCGCGACTCAAAACAAATTCATCGATGAAGCGACCCCCGTCTCATAATGCGTGTACGCTCTTGAAAACTAAGAGGTCTGGCATGTACAGTAAACTCTTCCACATGTCTAGCAAAAGGAAAGATGATCGAAAGAGCGAGCGGACTTCGGGAAAAAAAGCGGCTACCTTAGCAAGAACATAGGCAGTGAAACTGGGTGGTTCTCAACTCATCATCTACGTTACTGTTTACAAAGTTGCGCTGGTGGGATCTATATCTCCATACACGATCCAGTGCCTTGTGGCACGAGATCCAAACAACTATCACGAGAAGAACTTCTGCCACTTCCGGATTATTGAAGAGAAACGAATGTAGTACACAGGAGATCGACGCCAGGAATCTGGATATCTCGCGAATCGATCACTGACGAGCAGAGGGCTACTGACTACCATATTTCGAGTGGCAAGCAGCCAGAAGAGCTGCCCCAATACCAGAACCGTCCTTCGAGAGCTCGATGACTACGTTCTTGGCGGCTTCCTCTCCCAGAAGGTCCACAAATGCTTCGTTCAAGTAGTCCCTGAATTTCGTGTAGTGTTCGTAAAGGCCTCCGTCCATGGCAATGACGGTCTTGGAAGTGCCGTTCCCGCTCTTCCCATCCCTCCCAATCTTCCGCAGCACGGCGACGATGGCAGCAGCGGCAAGCCGAGCTCCTCTTCGAGCTATAATATCGATAATAGAATATACAACCCTCCTTTCTTCTAGCCTGGTGGGATCAAGGTCCAACTTTTTCTTCAAAATTTCTCCGACGACCTCCAGAGTCGGAGAGTCATCGGCATGCATCTTCGAAATGTCGGGCGTCGTCAACGCCAACTTCTTCGTTAGTTTTTCTGGGATCGAGTCGCCGAAGTACCCGGCGTCCTTGGCCAATCTGAGCATCACCCTCCTGACCAAGTCTCCCAGATACATACCTGACATCATCTTCTCAAAAATGTGCTCGCTCGGATTCACCGACTCCCGATCGAGATCGTCGTCGGCGAACGTGGTGGGCAGAGTGGGCGACCCGAAATTGCCCCACTCTGTATTGATCACGTGGATGCCGGACTTGGGAGGGGGGCCTTTCCACTTGGGCACGGCCTCCGCCCTCTCGACGTAGCATGCATTCGTGCCCGTGCCCAGAATCACCGCGATCATCACGTCCCCGTTGATGTACCGACCGCCCGCCAGCGTGCCGACCGTGTCGTTCACCAGCGCGGCCACCTCCATGTCGAGGTTCTGGCGACTGATGGCCTCGCGCAGCACCTCGACCACGTCCCGCCCCACGGTGCCGGCCACTTTGAAGCCCTTGGACCAGTGGATCAGGGTGCCCGAGGCAACAGACGTCTGCATGACGGGGAAGGAGAAGGTGAACCCGAGCTCCCGCTTGCGGCCTGGGGGAGGGCTCTTGTTCTCGGTTTCCCGCAAAACGAAATCGCGCAGCTTGCTAGCGATGAAGTCGAACAGATCATCGCTCTCGCCCACCATGAGATCGTGCGGGATGGTGAAAATCTCGGATTCCTGCATACAGCCCTCGCCGGGGCCTCCGAACACTGCGCGGAGGACTCGGAAGTTGGTGCCGCCCAGATCCAGAGCGTAGTAAATGCCCCTCTCGGTGCCCTTGGGCAGATTTTCGACGAACGATGGGAGCATCTTGAGCAGGCAGCCGTCTTCCGCTGCCAGTCCGGCCTCCATCTCCAGAACCATGGAATCTACCACTTTTTCCAATTTTTCCAGCGGCGTCGCGCATGCCTCACGGAACTCATCTAAAACTCGTTGAGCTTCTTGTTGCTGCCCAGCTAGCACGAGGACGCCCGGCTCCTGTCTACGACTCAACGAGTAACTCACACTCCGGCGGCCTCGATCCGTTCTAGCGTGGGATCCCCACGACACGCACGCCCTCCTGGCTAACGAATCCCCCAACGGGACCCTCAAACCGAAGCCCCGGGATGATCTTGTCGGGAGCCGAAGCTCCGGAACCTGTGGAAGTTGGCAAATCGCCTCGATACTTCTATGGGTAATGAGGGCAGACATTTTTCGTTCGTTTGTTACCTCAGGAGATGCGCGTCAATCCGGACGGACTCTTCGTCTGGTACGCGTCCCGGCTCCGCTCCGCTCCAGATCCACCAGAAGCTCTCGGCTTTTTCTTTGTTTCAGAAGCTGTCTTCCATTTCTGCCTCGATGGGCGAGAATTTTCTCCTAATCAATGAATCAGGTCGCGAGCGAGCTCATTCCGCGTCCCCGGTCTCGCAAGCCCGAGCCTGCTTTTCACAGAGGAATTTTGACACGATCCTCACACCTCCAAGAAACAGCAACTTGCGGTGCCGTGCATCATCCGCGCTTCTCAATCTCCACCTTCAGCATCGACACGAGGGAGGCTGAACCCGGACTCGATATACAATTTGGCGTCCAGCAACCGCTATTCCTCCCTCGTCCGAATAACTTATACCACGGATCACACTCCCCACTTCCCACTATTCCCCCAGTCCAAACCCCACTCCCACCCCTACCCACACCCCGACGACCCCGCCCGATCGATGCCCCCCCTCCCCCTCAAACAAAATCACTGCTACTGTGCTCGTGTTTGTGGTGGCAGCCAGATCGACTACTCGCTTCTCTCCCTCTCCCTCCCTCCTCCTCCTCCTCCTCCTCGTCCTCTCCCTCGCCGCACCAGCAAATGATTTCGATTGATTGCGACGAGATCAATAACCACCCGAACCGGGCCAGGGAAGGAAAGAAACACGCGACTGACAGATTAGCCCCAGCCCCGGCTCTCGCCTTCGCCTCCTAATATCATGCACGAGCAATTATCCCACAAATGCCCCGAAAACGCTCAAGAAACCCCGCCGTTTATCACGCTCCGGATTGGATATAGATCCGCGCCCGCCCACGCAATTGGGGCAACCAAGAAAGAAGCCGCGCCCGCGCCAGCGCCAGCGCCAACAGAGCTCCTGCTGCCGGCTCTCAGACCGGCCGACCGACGGAGGGACGGACGGAGTGCGGGCCTGTCCACCGGTGGTCCACTCGCTCCGAGTCTCTCTCTCTCGCTCGCTCGCTCGCTCCACTCGGCCCGGTGGTAGCCCGACGACGGCCCCTTTTCACCCACAGGTGTCCGGTCGAGCGACCGGTAGCGGATGACGCCAGCGTGACACTCCAGAGACGCGGGTACGCACTCACCGGCCTGCATCTCTACTTTCGTCTGTGGCCGTTGTCCGCGGGCGGAGGAGGTCATGGTGAAGGAACATTCCGGTGGATTCAAAACTCGCGACGGTACGGCCAGGCTGAGGGAGCCCGTCGTCGACGGGCGGTCACCGAGTTTCGAGGACGGTTACCTTTCGGTCGACGGAAGTCTTCTCCAATGCCGCGTAGCTTGGAAACGCTCAGATCGGACGGCTCCAGGTGAGGGCTGGGGAACTCGTCTGAAAACGGAGTCGAACGGACCTCCTCTCTGTGGGACCCACCTCTGGGTAATACACGCGATGAGTCGACGTGTTCAAATGGACAGATGGAGGTGACATTTCGAGGAGGGTAACACGGGATAACTCTACTGGTGACTGGGAGACCGGGGAGACTCCTAATTTAGACGGGCGATCGCGTCCTCGATGGATGCGACCTCCGCTTGTTTGGAGAAGAAGATGAAAACGAGGGAGCGGACGTTTACTTTTACTGCGAGGGCAGAGGGCAGAGGGCAGTGACTGGTTTGCGAAAGCCGACGAACACATGGTTGGAACCCAGAATTACGACACGTGTCTCTGGGGCGTCGTCATGATCCGAAGGTCAACTTCCCGTTGCCCGGAAGTCTGCCGGGTTTCTGACTGTGCGAATTCCGCGCCTCTTCAGACAACTGGCGAATCACAGACAAACGCGAATGGAGGCGGTCAGAGATCGAATCTAGTCGGGCCCACCACCACCACCGAGTAGATCGCTAGGCTCGGTTGCCCCTCGTCTCCAATTTTGGAGGATCGGACGTGAACGACGCCCAGGCCAAACACCACTCGACATTCCCTTCTTCTTCTTGTCCAGCGGAACTGCTAACAACAGAAGAATTCTGAAGCTGAGTTGACAAACAAAGTTGAGAGCAACCTTTTGGGAGTGAGAAAAGAACAATTTAAATGATATTTTCGTACAAAAAGTCTTCATTTTCTCTAAAAACAACGCTAGTTCCAAGATGTTCGTTCGTATTTATTAACTTGATCCCAATTTGGGTGTTCTTTACATTCACGTTTTGACTTATTAAGAGTTTGATTTAAAGAACACCCAAATTTGGGAGCACAAAGACACATATTTGTTTCCCGCGAAAATGAGACTTGATAAAGCAAATGCTCACTCTAGAATTTGCGATTACGTTCAATAACGAATGAAAAATAAAGAATTCACTAATGGAGATAATGACATCATTCCTCCGTTCCGAAAAATAATGATCGATGAAAATTGCCTATGAAGTAAATAAACTTTTCGACAGACGTTTTTCTAATTAGCATACTCGTGATTCCATAAGTCTACGAAAATTAAGTCCGCTGTGCATCAAATCATGTTCAACAACATGAAAGAAATTTGGAGTGCATTTTCTATTCACAATATTAAATTCTTTCCCCAAATAATAAATTTCAAACCAATAAACCAATTATATATATTTGAGAAAAGACACCTACATTTGAATTTGGAACAATTTGTTAGAAAATTTAAAGCGCCTCAGTGATGACGGAAGATTTATTGAAGCAAAAGCTAATTGCTTGGTGACTTGAACGGAAATGCAAGAATCAAATTGTTCCAACATATGTATAATCAATAATAATAAAATAAGAGGACTATAATGAAAACTAAAAATCACTGTGCAGGTCTGTGGAATAACGGACCCGAAGAGCCAATCGCATGCAGCGGAACTAGTGGCTGAGTGTCGCCGTCCTCCAATGCGGCGTCGCTTGCAGAGGAGGAGGGCCATTCACCAGATGTGCTAAAGGCCGCCCGCCTGGTCCTGAGGCCTGCGCACCTCTGCCGCAAACGGAGGGACCGCAATAAGGCAGGCAGGCGGGCGGGCAGGCTTCGATTTTCTAGCAGAGGTAGGTGCTAGCTCCAGCTCCAGCGTCGTGGAGGACGACGACCCTCCCTCCCACATCGATGTGCGGCGACGTCATCAGAAGGCACCGACCGCGGTGGACGCACTCGGCACCGAGTACGCATCTCTACGTCGTCCGGCCTCATCTATCCCGACCTCTAGCGTCCTGCCTGCCAACGCCGTCACCCGGTACACGCTCGGGAGAAGAGCTTATCTGGTACCACGCTGTTCCCACGTGCACTGTGTTCCCAGTTCCGAACGCGACAAAACCAAGGCTCGGAACTGGACTGGCGCGGTCAGCACTGTGGTCCGACTGTGGATCGGTTGACGTGATCGGGACCAGGAGCAGTGGCCTCCTCTAGAGCGTCTGGCCGTGGTCGACTGTACAGTATTATGAAGGTCGTCCTTGGTACAGGTACACAATAGTACGCCTGGACTTTGTTGCAATTTGTCACTCGCCCTTGTACGTCAGATCACGGAAGCGACGATCGGCTTCGCTGCTGCTGGACTCTCGAGGGGCCTGGCCTTGGCCTTGTGCCGGTAACAGTGCTGATTGCGTACTTTTTAGATTTCATGATTACTTGGCACCCCTCCAGGACCATGGCAGCGATCGGATTGACTTTCGCTCCTCAATCTGTTTCGTGTTCTCGTTTCTCCGGACACACGAGAATCTGTTGCGGTGTGGCTGGAGGGAGAAGAACTCAAAGTCTTGAGACGCAAAATTAGGTTTCAACAGACAGGAGAAAATTCCAAAGCCTGAATTCAGCTCAACGGTTGATCCATGTGTATAGCAAAATAGTGCTGACAGTAATAAATTATTAATTATGATCTGTATTATTGTATTTTATTCATAGAATTACCTCTAAATGAAAAGTATGTGTAGCTTGCTTTTTTTTTTATCTAATGACCTGAAAGATAATACGTCTATATTTTAAATCCAAGATTTCATCACCAAAAATTATCTGATATCTAGCTCTTAAAATTCACATATTGAAATCCATTTTCTGTATCATAACATTGTTGTCAAATCATACTTATTTGAAAAACATGCATTGAGATATATCACACATGATGTAATCCAAATTCAAACTAGTAGATTTGAGTTTTGATGGCATTCATTTTAATCATTGTTATGTAAGTATCTTTTATATTAACACATATGTTAATTCACTTTTTATTTTTATAATAGCAATCTATGAAAGCTGATGTCATATTCCATTTTTGAGATCTTATTTTTTGGATTCATATTTTAAAAAATCAGAAAAGTACATATGTATAAAAAAATTCAGTTTAATTTTTCTAAAAAAGTCGTTTATTTATTTTAAAGAATTCAGTCTGAATACTTTTCATCAATAGGTATTTCTTTTTTCAAAATTTCTATTATTGAATGACTTTTTAAAATTCAATATTTCACAACGATCATTTGAGAAAAAATTGTTTAAAAAATCATTATCAAAAAATCAAATTTTCAACACATTCATTTTACTGCTATTTATATTATTTTCTAAAATTTTCATGATTGCATTTTTCTAATATATTAATAAAAAGATTTTATTTTATACTTGAATATTTTTTTTTCTATACATAAATTTTTTTAATCATTTTCATCAATTTAAATTTGAATCATCAATTTATGTTATTATTAATTCAAATCTAAACTAAATTCAGGTAGTTTGATACTAAGTAGAGTAAGATTTAGGATTCATTACGAAGATGTCAAAAGCTATACTTTAACAATGTTAGGTTTAACTAAATAAATATCTTCAAAACGGTGAACTTAGTTTGACAATGGCGAACTACATACTTTTGTGTTGATGTCGTCATTGTCGCGCGAATACATATCGCCAGACACTCTACATCGCTGACATGCTACTCACATATACATACGCACACATACACACATATAAGGCGTGAGAGAGTACACACTCAAATGTCACAACTCGGCCCCCTAGCTGGCGATCAGGTCCCTCTGACTCCAAGGTAGTTCTATCTACAACTACATGCTATACACCTTTGTGGGTGCGCGAACCAGTAGGCCGGGTGCTATGTCGCCCCATCATTAGTCGCCTATCTGCAATTCATAACATGTGAAGATCAAGTCATCTATCCCTCTGAAGTACATCGAGGACAAACCCATCGTCCAGCCGGAATAACATCGATAGACGGAGTCATGCACAACATGTGCCATCCCCTGGACCACCTATCACACATTAACATACGGGCCGCCTGACTAGCTGACCCACAGAGCATGCACCTCAAGCCAGCACGTACTATCGCTAAGCTTGGGTCCATAGTGCCATCTACGTTTGGGAGGTGACATGGCACACAATTGCACACATGATCCTTCCAAACAACGCCGTCACGACCCTCCAACAGGAGAACTCCAGAAGGTAACACCTCCCGCACCCACAAGATTGTGCGTCCCGCCGTCACATCCAATGTCGTCGGTGCAGTCTACTGTAGATAGATGTAGTCTCCCACATGGAATCTACGAATTGATGGTCGATAACCTCCTCCCCGAATGCTGCATACCGCAACGTATCTCTATGTTGAGCAATCGCAAGATTCTCATGGCTGCAGGCATAACTCTCCGAAAGAGCTCTGCACGCTGAGAACATACTCTCACCCACATATTCGGGTCATCAAGGTTCACCACCTTGCTAGACTCACGACAAATCAATGTTGGCAAGTATGGATCTCGGCCGTACAATAAAAAATATGGTGAGAAGGAAGCCAAGGATGCCTGCCGACTGAACCGATATCCCATGGCCAACCACGGTAACTGG